ATATGAAAAATTGATGTGGGTATTCAAATGAAAGGTCTCGATGAGTGTAACATCAGGATGAGTTTATATCTTTAAAAATGTCAATAGTTGACAAAATACAAGGTTATTTCTTAATTATTGATATTTTTAAAGATATAAGCTCATCCCTATGTTACACTCATCAAGAGCTTTCATTTGAGTACCCACATGCATTTTCATAAATTTTTCATATATACATATTTATAATATATATAAATATATGAAAAATTGATATGGGTATTCAAATGAAAAGTCTTGATGAGTGTAACATCAAGATGAGCTTGTATCCTTAAAAATGTTAATAGTTCACAAGATACAAGGTCACTTCTTAATTATGTATTTAGAGATACATAAATTTTACTAAAAAAATTGATTTTATCATATGATTATTCTGAAAACAAAATTTTTCTTATTTTTTAATAATATAGATAATGCAATAACTTTAAAAATTGTACTATTATTATTATTATTAAATTTTGAAAAAATTATAATAATAATTTTAAAATATTTAAATAAATTTCAGTATAAAATTTAGCCGAGTAGTTTTGTTAAATAATTGGACAAGACTTTTATTTGGATCTAATGTCACCCCTGGGAAAGGGAGCAGCAAGAAGTAAAAGAGCGGTAAGGGGAGAGAGGGATAAGGCTCGAAACGATTATCTGAGTTTTAAAACAAACTCTCAAGTGTCTGCAAAGTCCTCTTACTCGAAAGCTCAACTCTGTCGGGGGAGGAAAAGAGAGGAACAGGACGGGCCGTGAGCTGGCTGGAAAACGTTAAGGGTTGGTGACGGGAACGAGATAATATGCTAATGCTAAGGAAGGAGCTACATGGGAATTTAAGAGGATCAATGCTCGTGAGTCGAGTTACCCTTGAATGAACATTGCTACACAATTACTATGAGGGTACGTTTTGCCGAGTATTTTGCGATACTGTCTTCATCATAAAATACAAATTGAAAAGTTTAAAATAACTTTACCTACATCTACATCTTCATTAACTTTATTAATATTATTAGTTTTATATTTTTAAGCTTACTTATCAACTTCTCAGCTATTACTTCATCTTCATGATTTTAAAATTACCTAAAATCGTTTACATACCTTCACTTTTTTTAATTTGAATGTCACCCGTCACGATTTAAACATTAGAAAAAGCAGTCAAGGCAAAATATTTTACTGTTGTACATACAAACGCTTTTTTAAGTAACTATATTCACTAGAGTAAATAACTAGATTGTAAAAAATTGGTAAATTAATATTAATGTGATTAAACAAAAAAATATTTAAAATTTGCACTAATAACTATTTTTTTTTATTTCTATGAAGAATTTTTTTTCTAAATATTTTTCATGATAATTTACTGTGCTTTTCAAATAAAATAAAAATAAATCGTGGTGATTTATTATCTTAATGTTAAATGTGAAATCATAGAATATCATCCGTCACGATTCAAACGTTAAAAAACACACTTTATGCTAGATGTTTTACTGCTTTAAAACTTACAAAGTCGGTGACTAAGACTTCGATAAAAATTTCCACGTATGCAACGAACATCAATGTGTATTTAATGCATTCAGTGGTTCGGATATTTCAGTGTTTTTTAAGTTTTCAAAGCGATACTTTTTAGTTCTTTAAAACTTACAACAAAATGCATTTATTGTATTCGTCAGCTATCGTGATATGGACGCTATTTATACTCCAATCTATAGTATATTACGTTCCTAAGCAAGTAAAGTAAGAAATGTCTCAGATCACATGTAATTATCGTCCGAAGTGAAGCTGAAGTCGGCAAACATGTGATCTGAGACTTTCTTATTTACTGGCCAAGGTCAGTATACTATTTTTCTGTTCGACAGAGCCAGATAGCGGTAACTTCGTGTAGCTCATCAGAGGTCAAAAAGATTGAGGTTGTCACCTCGACGACAGAAAATATATTATTAGTCCAATTAAATTTAATTGAAATTAAAGAACCTTTGGCAAAATCAAATAATTATGATTGGCATGAAAGTGGAGATGACCGTAAGCTCTACGAAATAAATTTTTAAGCATTAAAATAATCGATTGTTAAAATATTTATTGAAAATAAATTTTAGCGAATCTTGCAAAGTTCAATTCTATAAACTTAATATCCATCGATGAAGAGAAGTTGACCAGCGACAAGAGATGTACCGGCAATTGTGATTTACTCGATGATCACGGAAGAGTAAGTGCTCGTTCTTCAAACGACTCAGACCAATGCCCTGGTGATCTTTTAAACTGCTGGTTAGAATGGGTAAATTAAAATTAATAGAGAACAGAATTAATAAGAACTTAGTAGTGTTAGCAATTACTGAGGATCAGAAATCGGAAATTTTCTAATTTGCATCATATAACCATTTAGGAAACTGAAAAACGACAAAAAGCTCAGATGAACGTCGATCGCACAAAACAACGTATGGACTGTAGCATTTATGGCTGTTGGCTCACGCCCGCATTGCAGAAATATCTTGAGTATAAGGAAATACTTGATCATACAGGTAACATTTGCAAGTGTAGATGCCATCGTACTTATAGTCCAGATTCCATTGATAGCGATAAATTACTTGACTCCATATGTTTTGATCCTGTTTCTGTTGACAAGGGATTGTAAGACTTTTAATTTGCTAAATTGAGCAGAATTTTGAGTATTCTATCAGATAATTCGACGTTAATTTATTTTAGTGTCGCTACTGGTGCTAAATTTACGAGACGTGATAACGTCATATACCTCCAACTTAGGCAAGCGCGATTATCAAATGGTCGGTTAACTGAAACTACTAAAAAATGGATAGATTTGAAACGCTGCAGTCCTGCCAACACAAAGCCAGTTTTCAATTCTGATCGAAACAAATATTTGGAAATCAAATTGGAAGATATTATATTGCCAGAAAACGCTGTTGTTACAGGTAATTATGACTCAGAACATCGTTGATTATAAATTAATTATTGTCTTGATGAATCAGGTGTGACATTGGGGGAATCAGTGCAAGGACGATATCTAAACGATAATTTAAATTTCGATGAAAAACGCGGGGAGGTTACTCAACGGAGTCAATGCAGTGGAAGGTAATTTTGTTAACTCGAATGTCAGGTTCAAAAATCAAAAGTTTACTGATTTATTGGTTTATTTCAGTACCACATATTCAGTGTTTCGTAACTACCAAGTAAAACCATCCACTGGTGTTTCTATACGAGAGAATAACGAATTTAGTAAATCATGTCAAAGTCACATATCATTCCAAGGATCTTCTCAGGATAACGAAAAGCTACCATACGTCGTTCCATACGTCGATTTGCGAGAAATCGTAACCGAGTCACCTGAAGCTATTCGCGGAATCGGTTGGCATCATCGCAGTTTTCCCGGATATGGAGGATTTCTCGCTCTCAAGATTTTCAAAAAAGTGTAAAAACTTTATTGTACCATTTCTTCAATGATCGATGAAAATATCTTGTTTTTCCAAACAAAGTTTAATAAATAAATTTCGTCCACTAAAAATAATCAACTGCTGCATTATTGTTGCACCTGTCTTGCAATAAATTTTTAAGCTTAGAAAATTTCATAGGAATGCAATAATGTGCCTTAAATAATCCTCAATTATAGTTAAACACCATAAATAAAAAAAAAAATTGTTTGTTAAAAAACAAACTTATTAAACTCATAAGCCGAATAATCCCGATAATAACAATATGGCTCGTCACCCCGAAAAGTGCATCATGAGTTTGCGTGGCTCTTCCGCGTAACAAGCTTTATTATTAGCCTAGATGCATGGCTAAATTTCACATAAGCCTCGGGCTAAGCCACCGAGTGTATGAACTTAATATACTGGGTAGCACTATATACTATATACTATACAGCGCACATTTAGCGGAGAGAATGTACTAACTGAGGGTAAGTAATCGGGGGTGTGAGGGGTGTGAGGGGTCCCAAGTATAAGGCCGTGTTAGGAAGTGAACCTCGCATGGGAAAGTCCAGCTTGCGAGCTTACGTGAGATTATGAGTTTTGTTTTCAAACTCAAAGTTTCAGTCTCCGTTTCCACTTTTATACCGATTATTACCGTCTATACCTCTACACCCCACCCACATATATGTATAGTCTACACACGTCACCTGAATACTATAATACTTGCAAGGAGAGATTCAAATAGTAATAATTGTCATCTAGTTATTGTAGAGTTTTTTTTTTTAAATATTGACGTTTTTGAAGATATAAGCTCATCTCGATGTTACACTCATCAAGAGCTTTCATTTAAGTACTCACATGTATTTTCATATATTTTTCATATATACATATATATAATATATATAAATATATGAAAAATTGATGTGGGTACTCAAATGAAAGATCTCGATAAATGTAATGTCAGAGTGAGCTTATATTATATCTTTAAAAATATATCATTAGCTGACAAAGTAGCAATGTCAGTTTTTATTTATTGACATTTTTAAAGATATAAGCTCACCCCGATGTTACACTCATCAAGAGCTTTCATTCGAGTACCCACATGCATTTTTGATATATTTTTCATATATACATATATATAATATATATAAATATATGAAAAATTGATGTGGGTACTCAAATGAAAGGTCTTGATGAGTGTTACATCGGGGAGAGCTTATATCTTTAAAAATGTCAATAGTTCACGAGATACAAGGTCATTTCTTAATTATGTATCTAAAGATAAAGTATTTTCGAATGCAGCCTAAATACTTATCATCATAAATTGACTATTGGTGAGAATGATATAAAACCATGAAAAAACAAATTATTTTCAAATGAATAAATTTATTAACAACTACCAAAAATTCATTAATTTATAATTAAATTCTCTCCGTGTGCATACATAATATATATTAACACAATAATACATCATACATCATAGATCACATTAATATCACAATTCACGGCGTCGTTATTAGGATAATGAGTCCGCAGTTTGTCGTCAATCAATAGGCAAGATTACCGAGTGAGGGTTAATTGCCCATCATGAGCTTTTGTGAACTCTGCTGTAGATCGAACAAACTGCAAAGGCAAAAAATAAGGAAACTTCTCGAAGGACAAAAGCGTTCACCCCAGAGGATCGTTAGCCCGGGGAGTTAATCTTCCGAAACAGCACGAACTCTCTCAGTTTGTTTTTCTACAAACGAGCCCATTTTTTCTGGACACATCTATTACGCCGGTAACTTACTGTACGAGGAGCAGAGGCGCTAATTTTAACGCGAGCAAGTATAAGCTCTGGAGAAATAAAATAAATGCTCACACCTGGAAGGTTCCCAGAGCCCCGGTTAGGGATCGGGAGATCAACTGACAAATGACACGCGATTCACTGCTACACTGGGGATTATATATTAGATATATTATATTAGATATAATACACGGATTATCGTGCCGCTATTGAAGCTCTGAGAAGATATATAGCGCCGATTAATGTCTTACTTAGCCGAGGGATCATACGTGATGTTTTATTTTACTTTATTAATTATTTAGTAAGAGGAATATGTATTTACTGAATTAATAAATTTTTCTTAATTTAATAGGAGATTAATATAAACTAGCAACCTTGCAGTCACGACATGACTACCGTGACTTGTAAAATATAAATAAATAAAATTTTGCTTTATTAAATAATGACTTTTGTTAAATTGCACTGTACTTTCTTAAATATTGACGTTTTTTAAAGATATAAGCTCATCCCGACAT